GGACGCATAGAAACTGAGTCCTGACTTTGCCAGGTCTCTTGACGTGTCAGCAACATCCACGAAGTGGTCAGCCTTAGCTTTGCACAAGCAAAGTGGTTGTGCCAACCCTGTTGGTCTGTGTTGAAATGACCTACTTTTTGGGTCCAACCGTAGTCTTCACCATATTGACGAAGACAGAGCCTCAGATTGAGACGAAGACAATAAAACAACGGAAGACGGGTCCAACGAAACGGGTCTCGGGCTCTTTTGTGGAAACTGATGTTCTCGAAGTACTGCACCACGCTTGGGGCCTTACCATGAGCAGGTACGAAGACAGTCTCCACGTACGTGGAACTAGCGACTAACAACAAGGACGCTATTAGGTGGAGGCCACCGCAAGTAGGTTGGAGGCCATCGCTACTAGTAACAAGAAACTACTAGTAACAAGGTACATACTCAATCTTTCTCCACTGTGACACCTTTCTACCGACCTCCCGTCTTTCTACCGAGTCTCTGCCCGCTGGGGCTGGACTCACTTCCACGGAGATGTTTCGGCCAAGCCTTTGCAGCCTTTTCGGCCAAGACGCGACGCGACGACGTGTCCCACAGCGGTGAAAGCGGTTCTATTTTGTATTGTCCCTAGTAGCGTCCTTGCTCCTAGTAGTAAGGCCAGGAGCCCCTAGTAGCGTCCTTGTTACTACTAGTAAGGCACTTGTTACTAGAAGCGATGCACTTGTCCCTAGTAGCGTCCTTGCTCCTAGTAGCGATTCTATTTTTTTGTATTGAGTGATGCACCTCTCCAGAACCGCATGATTGCCGATCCGCCGGCCTCGCAGAAAAACATAGGCCCCTTCCTTTCTTCGTCTTCTTTTGTGTCTTTGGTTGACTCTTTTTGTGCTTTATTGCGTAGTAAGGTAGCTAAGAGGTGCAAATTGTTTGCATTGTGTTTGACGACTATTGCACAAGGCAAGGTGAGAAGCCTGTTGGGCGCGGCAGGTGTGACATCCAGCCCTGAAGAGGCCAGCAAGAATATCACAGGAAGAAGAATGTTTACATTACCAGTTCGTTGCTGCGCACAGCCTGCACACATGGATAATAAAAGTAAGTGGTTCTCCACTGCATGGCTCAAGTGTGTCCCAAGCTGAGGTGAAGACCGGCCCTAAGCAAAACAAGCCTCACACGTCGTAGAAAGCTTAAAGGATTCGAAGACGAAACAAAGCTCCAAAGGCCAGGACTTAGTGGTGATAGGGCACACGCACCTTGGTGGATCTGAAATCCAGAATCCACGCCCATCGATAGTGTCCTTGCTCCGTTCGTAGCGATGCCAGGAGCCCCTAGTAGCGTCCGATCGCTCCTAGCTACCGTTTGACATATCTCCTCTCATCGTGTCCGCTTCTCCAAGAAGCTCAAGCGCACACAGCGCGAGCGCACACAGCGCGAGCGCATGGCTCGAGTGGCAGCCGACATGGGAGTCCCGCAACCAAAGGATCGGAAAAAATGTCACGCCGAACCACTACCATTCCACTTGTTAATTGATGTGCAAGACTTTCAATAACCATTCCACTTCTGACCATTTGCACAAAATAAGAACACGTGATATTCTTTCAGAATCAGAGTCTATAGAAGCTGATTTGGGTGCATCCAATTGCTCCGAAACATCACTGCCGGGGGCTACTCCAAATTGGGAAATGGCTATTTGTATTAATATACAACTCACAGTTAGGCTTAAGCCTTTAGCACAACCACTCAGACTTTGCCACTTCCAAGCCAATCGCTCTCTTTTCAGAAGCTGCCTGAAATCCTGCATGCGCCCTCAGCCTAGACCTAGACAAGCAGCAATTTGTCGTGTAACAACAGTCATGTAGAAGTTACCTGAGCAAGACGGGCCATCGACCAATCCACAAACACTTGAGTCCAAATCTGTCCTTCAGATTTTGCAACATGCTAAAGCAAATGGGAAAGCAACAAAGATTGCTTTCTTGTTTGTCAAAAAGAAACCATGTTTCAAGCAAGCCTCGATTCTGCTGGAACACAGAAATTGCGCGTTCCGCATCGAATGCCTTCAATGCCATATACAAAGGCCTCAACTCTCTGAACATGAAAACAGAGCATCGCTGAAGGCATGGAATGCCAAAGATCTGCTTTGCTCTGTTTGCTGTTTCCATTATAAGTTCATTCGAAACACTTAACATATACTCCACGTCCGTGGTTTGCCAGAAACTTCTCGGTCCAGTCCAAACACACCGGCCACTTGCATTTGCATCCCAGCAAGCACCACCTTGGTTTCGTTCATATTGACTGAATCATGTGAGACTACGAGCAAACACACCGATGCCCTTTCTTTCGCATGATTGTCTCAGCAAAAGCATTGCAGGTGCAGCAGGAACAAACGTGAGGCCTGCTCAAGCCGATTGCTACTACTTTTTGCTGCTCTTCAGATTTAACCAACACACACAAATAATATACTATATTTGACCCCTTGCCTGAAAGATACTTCCACATTCTTGGTAAGAGAGAGCTTGTACTTGCTTTCCATGCTGGCAAGAGTATCGTGAGAAATACTCGTTCCGGCCACCACTGCGTTGATTAAATGATCCAGAAATAGCATCCATTGCTGCGCCTTCATATGGCCTGTCTCCACATCGGATGTTGAGGTGTTGAGCCAGCTGTCAGCCAAGGCGCGGCTTTCATCCACCAGTGACCGGTCTACATAAGATGAAAGATCGAAATCTGGCAAACCTTCACCATGAAGCCAGTGTTCCCAATCAATTTCTTTGATGCGCTTGACACCTTTGAAGAACTTCAGGAAATGCTGCTTGCAATCCTCTGTTTCAATGCTACGCTCCCGGAAAGCAGCCACATAAGCCCCGAGCCAGTCTGTCATTTGTTGCTCACCGCCCACAATTTGTTCCAAATAGAACAAAAACAGCGAGCCTTTTTCATAGGGCACTCGGGAAAATGCATCGTCAGGATCAATCTCATCGATTTCAGGTTCAAGCCGTGTGAGGCCGGGTGTGCCTTGCTGATTCAACATGTCCACAGCCCTCGGTCGAACGGTGTCAAAGAACTCAATGACTGGAGAGACTGGAGAGAATGACAACTCATAATCTTTTCGGAGGGCCCATACTAGAAGCTACTAGCAACAAGTGCATCACTACTAGTAACAAGGGCATTAGTGGCTTGTTACTAGTAAGGCACCTTGCTACTAGAGTCAAAATGACTCCAGTTCAGTCTCGTACTGCCGGCACGCAACTTAATGAGATCATTGTAGCCAACCAGCAGCAGCAGTCCACGAAAGGCTGGCCCAAAAATCTTGCCTGAGTGTTGTTACAATCGTTCTTGGTAGAAAGGAAGATTTAAGGCATAGACGAAAGGCCTTCTTCCAACCAAAAGAAAAGAACAAAAAGGTCTCAAGATCTAAAGAAACTAAAAATATACACCAGCATGGACCCCAGATAGCTAGGCAGAATTCAACGACGGGCGCACAGCCAGCTCACAAACACCAGCACCGGCACAAGCCAACACCCTGTCTCGAAAGCGTGCACAGCCAGCTCATTCTTATTGGAAGTAAGAAACCCAAAGCTATCGCTATCAGAAAAAAAAAGAAAAAACAATAAAAAACAAGATGGAGCCCACGAACCCGAATGCAAACACGTTCGAAAAACTACATATGTCCAAATGACACTCTTGTGGTCTTGTGGGTCACTCTTGTAGGAAACTCTTATGGGACACTCTTGTGGGTCACTCTTACAGGACACTCTTGTGGGACACTCCTGTAGGACACTCTTGTGGGACACTCTTGTGGGGCACTCTTGTGGGACACTGTTGTAGGAAGCTCTTGTGGGACACTCTTGCGGGACACTGTTGCGGGACACTCTTGTGGGACACTCCTGTGGGACACTCATTTGGGACACTCTTGTGGGACGCTACTCTTGCAGGACACTCTTGTGCGACACTCTTGTGGGACACTCTTATGGGACACTCTTGTCGAACACTCTGGTAGGACACTCTTGTAGGTCACTCTTACAGGACACTCTTGTGGGACACTCTCACACACTGTTGCGGGACACTTTTGTGGGACACTCTTGTGGGACACTCTTACGGGACACTCTTGTGGGACCCTCTGGTGGGACACTCTTTCTGGGACACTCTTGTGGGACACTCTTGTGAGACACTCTCGATTGCCTGCGCCTGCCACGAATCTTTCCGCGTCCACACGTCTAACAATATCGTGTCATGTGAGCTTCAACAAAATTTGCACCACACCACACGCTTGGAATGATTTCGACGGCGGCGGACGGTTGCGAACGGTTGCGGACGGTTGCGAACGCTGAGACAACGTGTCGCGAACAAGGCTCTACCCCCAGACCCCCAGAGTTAAACGAGAACCCTTCGCTACGCATTCGGGAAAAGAAAAGAGAGAAGGACAAGTCGGAAAAGGAGAAAGGAAATACATAGAAATACAAGAACATAAAAGGAACAGAAGTATTCTCTGTTGTCTTGAAAGGGAGTTCCAACCTTTTTTTGGCAGGCTTCCGAGGACTCGTCTCTCGATGTAGCGAGTGAAGCCTTCGTTAAGCCAGAAGTCTTTCCAGAACGCATTCGTGACCAGATTACCAATCCAGGAGTGCACAATCTCGTGAGCCAGGGTGGGAGTTAAGCTACGGTCTCCAGGTATCAATGACGCGCTCATAAATGTGCAATTTGGATTCTCCATTCCCCCGTATGCAAATGATGACGGCATGACTGCAACATTGTAGCTGCCCCATTCGTACTTTGCACCTCCGACGACTTCCTGAGCTTTCAAAATGAAGTCTTCAACAATATCTTGAAATTCTTTTTGTGCCGCATGGATTACGCCAGGCTCCGCATAGCATTTGCTTCTTGGTCCAATCTGGCAGGATTCCAAATGAGCAACCACAATTGCGATCAAATAAGACATCACGGGCACTTTCTGCTCGTATCGGAAAGTGCGAAAGTTTCCGCTTGACTCAGGATCGCCAGATGGTTCACCAGATGCAACGGCTGTGAGTGGCTCTGGGACTGTCACAGAGATTGTAAAGGGTGCTTTCACCGATGGGGTGTCCTGACATGGCAGCAAGGATCTGCCACAAATAGCTTGGCTTTGTGTAAAGCAAAGAGGATATTGCTTGCCCTGCGTCTGCTCTTTTGTCAGCCACTGTAGTGCAGTACTCTTCTCCGTTGTCTTGTACTTAATCGAAAGCGTTGTAGTCTTCGAGGCAGGCAAAGCAATCACCAAGGACTGACCAAAGTTCGACTTGGGTGGTGGTGACTCCTCGACCTCCCAATGCACCTTGCTTTCTCTCGAGACTACAGTTGAACAACATCGAAAACAAAATTGATAAGGTCTTTTTTCGAGAAAACCACAATCTGCATGCAAGAGATCTAAGCAAAATCAAATGATTCGATGTGAAAGGATTCTTGTTGCAAATGGCGGCACGGGTTCTCCATTGTCATCCGTCACAGATTCAATTGCCTGATCTCACGCTCTTGCAAAAGCAAGAATAGGCCAAACAAGAAAAACTGCCAGTTCTAAAGGAAGACAAATTCCAAAAAAATTGGTCTTCAATTTCAGCCCAAACGCCAAGGCCAAAGTATCCAGGATCACGTGAGGTGCCGGTTTGATGGATCGCACTGTGAGCTTGCATTCGCCCTGGAGGACCTGTTCTTCAAAGTCCACCTTCAATTGAAGATCGATGCCTCAGGACGAACAAGGACGCTACTAGGGGCTCCTGGCCCCTCCCTGCTTAACTAAGTAGAGACTGCCGACTTAATTAAGGAACTGAGGTAGCTAGTACCTTACTAGTAAGCTACATAGCAACAGGATTACACAACGTGTTGTGATGTCTGAAGCTGAAGCTTCGCTGCGTTCCACCAAGGCCTCTGAAAAATTGGCAACAGAGTGTGGACAACTTCCCTGGCAGGACAGGAATATCAAGTGGAAGTCAACTGGTGAACACGTGATTCCAATGTCAACTGTTCCACTGTTCACAACGCTCAGCCTTCACAGACGTCGCAGGTCGCTGCGCAGGCTTCTTTTTTGGTTGTCCGCCTTCTTTCTTGGCCTCAACACATGTGTAGGATCAAAGGCTGAGCATAATGAAAGCATGACGAAAACCTTTGCCTAGAAAAGGACTTCTGCTGATAAAAATCACAATGGCTACTAGTAACAAAGGCACTACTACTAGTAGCT